CTATCTTTGAGTCTTGTCTTCCTGCTTTTACTGTATGTTTGCTACTTGTTTTTTTTTTTTTTTATCTTTACCCTTATTGTCAACGTTTTTAGTCTTTGTATGCTGAATCTCCTAGTAACTAACATACAAGGCATACAGTAAAAGAGGAGAGTGACGTACAGCACAGAGTAGACCAAGAACAAGATAGAACGAGAACGTCAGAGGAGCTTTACAACAGCCCAATGTGACTATGGTCGAAGCTGCCAGAGAGAGAGAGAAATCAGAAGCAGAACCTTATATATCCATCGACACCCGAAGTGGTAAAAGAGGAAGTAAAGAAGAAGAAGAAGAAGTAGAAGAAGGAGCTTCGAGTATTTCTTATTCTTGTTAATTTATATTGATTATTTGTGTGTGTTTTTACTTCTTGTTTTTATCTGTGAGGCTAGACTGCATGTTTTGATTATCCAAAGTCTTGTTTTGATCTACATAAACAGCAAACATGCATGCATGACGGATCAACATGTTCAGTCTGTAGTTTGATTTCGGTCAAGAATAACTGTCCCTTCTCTGACGTTTTCTAGTCTAATATTTCTATAAAATAGAGAGAAAAACAGGACCTAGAGAACCAACTCAGTGGGGGCCGGAGGGGGCTTAAAATCTGCCTTTACTAGAACCACACACACACACACACACACATGTACATATATACAGACACACAACAGCACACATGAATGCACACACGAAAGCACACACGAAGGCAGGCACACACACACATACACAAAACACCCACATACACACAAACACGCGAAATTTACTCGTATCTCTGCCATTGCCGACCCCAAGCCCGGATGAGAAAGAAGAAGTGCTGGATGTGGGGGCCAGCGCCACCTCCTCCCCCCCACCTCCCATATTAAGAATTACATATATTAGCTATAGAAACTGGCAAACAAGAAGCCGTTTCTGTAAACTAATGAGTCAAGTGATGTGTAGTGCACGAAGTGCATTTATGGCCGCTACGGGGTAAACATATTCTGAAAAGAGACGAAGAGACAATCACCAAACAGGCACTGCAATAGGAAACTGAGGAACTGCTAAACCGAGGACTTTCAAGAGAAACGCTACATCCAAAGCTGCTGGAACAGATTCCATCCATGATACCCAAGAACTGGCACAGGATATAGCGGAATGGAGAAATAGAATTGGAGCCCTATGTGATATATAAGGGCACAACAGGACGCTGAAGGACAGACAAGTTGACTTGTTTGAAAACTTGAGCGCGAGCGGTCGTCTTTTTAGCCAGATTTTGTGATTTCTTACCGCTGAGGGGCTTTTCTACAAGTGCAACCTGCACAAATGTCGTCCTTGTCTGAGACGGCTAGACGCTTGTCCATTACATCCCGACCAGCGCAGAGAATGCCAAACTTTGTTTAATTAGAAAATGAAAACAGACTTCGTCGTGAATCAAACTACGTCTGCACGCGCCATACGCAAACGACGTAAGTTTCGCAAGCCGTTACTTTTTTGCTCACATATTGGATTCAAAATGAGGTGTTTGAAAGCATACATACCATTTCCAGCTTTTTGCAAACGGGTCACCTCCGTATAAATGATACAGAATGTCATTTAC